AAATGGCGTCAATGGGGAAGCTGCAAAAAATCAGTCCGGGAACTTATGGACCGCACTGTGTATATATATGTATATATATGTATATATATATATTATATATATATATATATATATATATGTCGGTATCATTACGGTTATAATATGATATATTATTGTGTACTGTAACTTACAAGGATAATTTGGCAGATATAGAGCAACGGTAATACGACTGACATATGTATGTCTAACTGTCGGGTGGTGCGAGACGACTGTGCTACCGTATCATAAACTTCGCGTGTATGATATTCAAGTTCCTCCCCCCCTTTTTCCCCCCGTAGGATAATCGGTTCAAAATTGTTTATAATGTGTGTTTACATATCCATTATAGTTCGTCAAGTATCGCAAAGTAAGAATTGTCAAGCATGTCCAAATCCTTGATAGAATTTAACTCATGCTTTTCTCTTTAATATGCTTTAGTATTTCTGAGATAAGTCTTTTATAATAGTTATATTCGGTGTCGAGCACTTTTATGTTATTCCAATTAAAGGAGTGTCCAGATTTTAAAATGTGTTCTGTAATAACTGAATATCTTGTCGGGTCTAATTTAATATTATTTTTATGTTCTTTTAATCTAGTACCAAGCTGTCTTTTGGTTTGTTCTACATAAGATGCTTCACAGTCGTTACAAGCGATTTTATAACCACGTTGTTGTTTTTCGTGGTCAAATTCCTATCTTTGTAAGCCCTAACGAACGTCATATAAGTCTTATTGAGTACTCTATAGTCTCTATATCCTATTGTATATTTATTCTTATTAATGATCGATGTTACTATTTCCGAGATGTTTTGAATATACGGAAGTACCAAGAATTTTCTCCTATCACTCGTTACTTCCATTGTGGTGCTGTGTTCATCGGTTTCTTTTACTGTACTGGATTTTAATCTGATGTCTATTAGTTTTTTTAATCTAATATTCATCTTATTGAAAATCAAATCCAGAAAGTATCCATTCTCTAACAGAAGAGATACGCACAGTTCTAAATTTTTTTGCTGGAACATAGGATGTGAAAGTAAAAAAGCTCTGTCCATTAAGTTAAAAATAATACCTATTTTATGGCACAATGAGTGTTTCGAGTGATAAGAGAGAAGTCTTCCCGAAAATGTCTTTTTTTGAAACCAATCTATGTGAATGGTATTGTCAATAATATTTAAAGATAGATCTAAGAAACTTATACATCGGTTGTGTCCGTATTCTATAGTGAATTTTAATCGATCGTGATATCCATTGAAGGAATTTAAAATTGTTTCTATGTCGTCTACCGATGCCGCTAATAAAATGTCGTCTACGTATCTGTAGTAAAACAACGGTTTTTTTACTAACGCTGTTAAGATATTTTGTTTCAAATCACGCATCACCATCTCTGCGGCAACCGAAGACACAGGGGAACCCATCGCGGTGCCAAACGTTTGTTCGTATATTGTTTCGTTGAAAGAGAATTAAATAGGTGGATGTTAGCACGAATTTTACTGCTTTGATTCAATTATATCACAAAATTGCGTTATTTAATCCAAATAATATGTATTATTTATATAAAACATTTGATATCATTTGATAAATAGCTCAAAGTTATAATCTCATCATAAAGTAGGACCTTACGAAAGCAAAGATGATTTTTTTTAAATAATGCCTAAGTGATACATATTTTTTTTGTAGCATTATTTTTGTAATATTATTCGTATAGACGATTTGATCAAATACTGATGCCAAGTTATAATATTATAATACTATAAAATCTAAGTGGTATATATCTTTGTATCTATTATTATACCACAAAATTACATTATCTTATTCAACCTAAATGTTATCAGAAAAAACTAAAAAAGTTATAGTACAAAATAAAAAAAATAAAATAAAATAATGATAACGAAAATTACATATATGTTAATAAATAAATATATGTGTGTATATATTTTTTAATTGTAAATCATATAAATCACAAAGACTATTTACATATTTCCTTAGTATTTCAAAAATATTATTAATTCAATCAAAATTGGAATTAGGTAATCAAAATGAAGAATGTGAAAAAATTAAAAAGAAGTTCTTGTACTATTATTAAAATATAAAAATTATTTGAAGTATAATCAAAGTACATATTACTCTTCGAAATAATTTACTTATTCACTTTGCAATAAATCAATAAATAAAGGTATACATGAAACAATAATTAGTATGTGCTATAATTTTTAATTGTTATATAATTTAATGATTCAATTTTATATATAATAAAGAACAGAAACTTGTATAATTTGCTAAAGTATCTAAAAAATTGTAATAAATTTGAATACAATTTTGTTCACTCGTTAAAATAACTGGATCATGTAACTATTAAAATAGTAATACGGCTAAAAGTATTAATATTTTCCTTCTTTCTCTTAAAAACCGCTAATAACTAAAAATAAATACCACACAAAGAATCGATTTTATAATAAAGTATTTAACGACTTGATTCATATAAAATTGCTTACGTTTACTTATATAAACATGATTGTTTTTATATGCAAAAATTTTTTATGTCTTTTTTTATTAAGTACATTTTTTAGATTTTTTTTTATTAACTTATGGATTTTTATTTTGCAGACACCAACGCCAACGCAGATATGTATTTTTTCTTAGGTTTACATAAAAAGCACTAACAATGTAACTTTAAAAAAGTAAATCAAAAGTTAATAGTTACCGATAAAATGTGATCAACTTTATTAAATTAAAATTATTTAATTTTTTAACTTAAATAACTTAGGTAAATAGACTCACTAGAATATTACACATATTAAAATAAAGGCCATATGCGAGTCAACACAGATGATGATGTGTAATTTTATACAATATCCAACCACACGCAAATTGCGCGCCACATATTCGTCGGTCTTGAAACACAGTTCATTACATTTTCATCCGACCGATTGGTGGTCTAAAGGTAGGACCGGTAGGATGCCCATCTGGTAAACATGGAGATCCGGCTGAGATCCCAAGAGATTCCTGGCTGCGAACTAGATGATTTTTTTCGCAATAAAATTCGTTACAGATTCGGAGGGAAGGGGATTTTTATAGATGCGTCGTATAGCATCGAAGAGATTAAATCGTTAATCGATTTAACTTGTTACAAGTTATGGCCTTCCGGCCTCATGTAACAAACTGTGTTTCAAGACCGATGAGTAACTATGCGGCGCATAGTTTGCGTGTGGTTGGATATTGTAAAGAATTATTACACACCATCATCCGTGTTAGCTCGCATATACGGCCTCTACTTTAATATGTTTAATTTTTAACGTAACTTTTATCTTTTTAACTAGGCACTATTCAACCCTGCATATTTATGAATAACATTTACATCAAAATATCTGACAGAGTCTCACAGACCCTGACTATCATTCGCGAGAGTAAAAAGAAGCCTGATATCCTAGGTTTAAAATATAAATACAAATATTATTTATATATTTGTATACGAATATTATTTGGATTTCAAAATAATTATGTAGGACGCTCAAATTGGTTGCTAAAATATTAATATTAAAATAGAATATTAAAAATATTGTTAAACTTATCTAAAACGATCTTTGAAAAGAAGTCTTTATATTATTATAATGCACTATAATTTGTTCCGTATAACGTTAAGTTTCCTTTCACCTCGACCTTTTCGTACCTCTTTCACACTTCTTTTTCTTTCTCTTCCATTCTTTGATACATGCCAAAAGAAATTTTATTTAAAATTGTAGTCAAAATCAGTCCTTGAAAATATATACGACACGAAGAATCGGTTTTATAATAAAATATTAAAAATAGAGATTGTAAAACGATCTGAAACAATCTTGAGGAAAAGTTCTATTAACCTTAATACACACAACCTCAATATGTAAAACTGTATTAAAATTAATAGTGTATATGAAGAG